GAATTTCAAATATCTTTTTTCTCCCACAAGAAACAAGAATGAAAAAGTTAAGATACAAATATATTGCTTTCTCATTCAGTTAAGAAATGCTTGTCAGTGCTAAAGAATAATAAAAAAAGTATATTATATGAAATTACTACTATTAATATAATATATACATACTTCAGTGACAGTGAATGACCTGTTAACGACAGACGGGTCTATCGGGATACAAACTGAATAAATTCGAGATCAATGGCTCGTGCACCGTTAATCTTGTGGCCTTCTCTCGCGTGGCTTTGCTCGATTGAGAATCTGATCTACCTATCCGATGACTTCGCTGGTTTCACGCCCGAACGATTGCATGGATCGATACACCTTTTTTTGTTCTATCGCTTCCTTGAGAAATTCTCTTGATTCGACGAAAGCTATCGAATAATTTTATAGTGAAAATGATTCAGAGAGAGTTGAAATTTGTTCGAATATTAAAAATTATTAGTTTAACATTATATTGAATAAAACTATTTGTTATATTGAATGAAATTATCTTTCTTCTACAATATAAGAGAAGAAAAAGAAGAAAAATCACCAAATTAGATTGATAATAGTAATTGAAGAAGAAATTCTTTTCTTTCTCTTTTATATTTTAATATGTAATTTAGCATAATAATAAACTACAAAAAATTAATTGATGCATATTTATATGTAAGATGTCCATTATACATACATATGTACGTCTTATTTAGTTATTTAAATTCATTTTTTAAATCTCTAAATTATATTAAACTATCAAAAACTGTTTTTATGTACCAATTATTAATAAAATAAAATTCTAAGGTATATATAATGTCTTGTATGTTGCTATGAAGTACTTACGTTTCTTTAACAACTTGTGTAGTAATTAAAGTTACACTCTGCGTACTTTTTTGCATTTGCGTGATTAACGCAGAAATGAAAGGAGAAAACGTGCTTACAAATTATTACATTCTCGAAATGCGTTTCTTGAAATATTTTTCTTCAAAAATTTCTTCTCTTCCAACTGCTTATAAAGTGATTGATCTATACTGCCGTAACGCTTTTAAAAATCATGGTGGCGGCAATCCAATGCAGCCCTTAGGGTAGTGGGAACTCTGACGGATCGCCGGCGGAAGCAACGATTTTAAGTGCGGACTGAAAGACATATTTCGGGACGGTGTTCTATATTTACACGCGGGTGTACACACCTATATGTACGAGAGAGCGTAGAGCGATTTACGTGTCTGCGACTCTCTCGACATTCCACGCAACTTTCTTTGTGGTTCCCCAGGGAATGTATGTGCATGCGTGACTCTCGCACCACACGCCACTCTCTGGAATCCCGCTTACGGAATGCAATGCGAAACTGAGTCTCGCGACTTCATCTTTGACCACCGACCGGCAACATTTGTGGATTTATGTGGCGCTTAAATTACATAGCTGTCGCTTAACATTACTAACGCCGCTGACCACTCATTTCAGAAGCATGTTACTTACCATTAAGCTATTTGCAATAGTATATATTAAAAAAATTCTAAAGCAATTATTAAAAAAATTTTAAACATTTTCCTCTCCCTAAATCTTTCCCAAAAAATCATACAAAAACTCTTATAAAAAAGACATGTATTATTTTTTGGGAAAGATTTAGGGAGAGGAAAATGTTTAAAATTTTTTTAATAATGTCTTTAGAATTCATGAAACAAAAAATATTTATAGTTAATAAAATAAATTACTTGAGTTAAGAAAAATTTTAAAATATTCAAACAATATGTTTTTTTCTTCAAAAAAATAAATAGAATTAAAACATATAATAGAATAAATTAATTTTTTAATGAAAAAAACATAAGTCGATAGGAATATATTTTGTTCCTATCGACTTATGTATATCGCTCAAAATTGTCATATAGAAACTGATTAATAAACGCATAAGAAAGAATGACGGCAAGTGCAGTTCACAGAGATCATAATTTTGCAATAATTTTTTTATCATAAAAGATGCAATTTGTGAGAATATTAAGTGATTTATTAAGATTTGATCTAAGTTTATTCACTCGTAGCATGCGAGAAGAAATAATTCTAACAATAAGTGAAGATATAGGTATAACATTAAAATTCAGTTAGCCTTGCAAGAAATGGCTAAAGGGAATATTACAGCTATAATTCAAGGAAACATCCGCCTTAGCAATCTGTGCAGACAACATTCCGCACAATTTCAGCTCGGGTGTGCCGTTTTCAGTTTAGCATAATTACGCGTAATTTATAATGATCACAAGGTAGGCACTTCACTTGCTTCGCAACCAATACAGGAAACTTATCGTCTTTGCATATGAGGAGAACTGACGTCAAAATATCCCAAACTCTCAACATAAATTTAATTCATAATATATGTATGTATATTGAACTACATATTATCAATCTCAAATTTACTTACCATGAAAGTTTAAGCCTCTCTATTGTATTTTTGATAAGATAAGTATAATTTTATTTAACTTTGTCGTACAGAAAAGTGAAGTTAAAAAATTAATTTATTTCATTATTTTATTATTTTCCAATTTTATTTATTTAATTGAATTATTTAATTATTCTTTAATTAAATAATTCAATAAATAATTACAGAATAATTAAGAGTAAAGAAAAAATAATTTTTTATATAAATGAAGCTATATATATTTTAATTGTATACGACACTATTATTTTATAAAATCTTAATTTTACAAGTATACATTTTATTTTTACAAAATTACAAACCAGAAACTGTAACTCCTTAGAATTTAAATCTGGATAGATAAAATATTGACACAAATTAAATAAAACTATATAAAACTATATAAAAATCTTATTTTCTAAAGAGAGAGAGTTCCAGTTATATAATTCTCTTACTCATTTCTAGTTTATCATTATTTATAACACAAATATTTTCAGTTAAATAGTAAACCCACTGTGTAAGTATTATCTTTCCAAGCAATTTATACGTACCGTTAACCAACCTTCCTCGACAACTTGCACATGTCGCGTGTTCTCTACGCGACGTGCCCTGTTCCCCTGAGCTGGAATAACTTGACGCCACGAGCCGCTAGTTAGAGGGAGAGACCCCCCTCGGGTCTTAGAAATTCATTCGTGAAACATTCCACATAATTTCGTGTCGGCAATGCTGTTTTCGGCGCATACCGTCGAGTCGCGCATTGCACGCGATTTAGTATACTCGGCCCGCAAAATCGTCGCCTATATTGTTAGGATTATTCGCGACAGGTCCTGCCGCAAGAGCAAACATGTATCATGCTCTTCCGTAGACTTCAAGCTCGCATATATTGCAACAACTCGACATGGAAATTTATGTGAGTTATAATTCACGTATATTGAATCGTGCTTCTACATTCAGCGGATTTTTCATTCTCATTTATTATAATTCCTGAGATATAAAGATTTGGATATGTAAAAGAAAAATTTAAATCTTTCTATTATATATTTATTAAGTATTAAACATAGGAACAATTGCTATCTAATCTTCTTTGTTACTTTTTTCTTTGTTATGAAAGTTATTGTTATGAAAAGTGCAAAAAGAATTGATTAAGACAATATTATTATAAGTGAAAAAAAATCAATCATAATTGTTTTTGTCGGTTTAAAGAATTAAATTTGGTAAAGGAAAAAAGGGGGAAAATATAAATATTGACGTGTACGAAAATAAGAATTCCTGTAAGTGGAAAACAATCAATAGGTATTACAGAAATCCCAATTGCGCTTGATCTTTGTGACGATCCCGTGATTAAGTGCAAATTATGTGGTGATAGCCAAATTTCAGATTTCTGATGGTCACGGTGCAATTATAACGTGGCATTCGTTTTGTGTGGTCTCTCTCTCGTCACTTAATAGTAATAAGCATTCATGTATTGCCATTATCGTGGATCGTTAAATATTATCTACTGTGTCATGCTAATGTCCGTATCTTAATAGAACGAGGATGCAAACGTTAATTGTTATTGTGCGCATTACCTACAATTGTCTCTTATTGAAATGATTCGGTCTATTCCTTTGTTCGTAATTAATAGTCGTAAAACGAGCTATATATAACTCGTAGTCTTGTGAGAGTGGATTAAAACGGAAATCGATTGAGATAGATAAAAGATCTGCCCAATCGACGGGGTCTTAATCCGGGCAATGATCCGTTGCGTGCGGCTGCAGCTAATTGGTCAGCCCTTAATGAGCTTGATATTACGGATCCGGCGATAAGACTGCATGTGCAAACTCGAGGAATGTACGACGTAAAGAATAATATTGCGAATTATGTATGATAATAACTTAGGTCTAATTCTTCGTGTTAAAATTGTTTAAATTTAATTCGTCAATTTTATTTTTAAAAAAGGATATTGATAAAATATTATTAGACGTATTATTAGTATTTTAAAAATATTTCAAAATGAATATTTAAAATTCAAATTTAATTCGTTAATTTTGCTGGAAAGAACAAAGATAAAATTATTGCAATAATTTTAAGTACACCAGAAACGATGTTATCGAAATATTTAAATTCTTCTGTTCTAACTTTACTATTTTGTTATAATATTTAATGCGGATTAAATTTAATGCGAATATTTCAAAAGTTTATAGATGTTTTTATTAATAAAGAATATTAAATTGTAATAACTTTTTATAAAGTCATTTTATTCATTTATTCCTTCAAAATTGTTTTAATAAACTTATAAAAGTATTGCGCATCTATGAAAGTATTTATAAATTATATAAATATTTCTGTCTTGGATAATCAATGTTTGAAAAATTTATTATGAGAACCTTTATATTTTGTTTTATTAAAGAAAGAAAATTTAATTATCATTTATATTTTAAAAATTAACACGGGAAAAGATCTTGAAGAAAAATGCTAAATGAAAAATAACATTATTTACTAGCATATAATTCGGCCCCACCTGTGCTTGAGCGTGCGCGCGCGCAAGTACTTATGAAACCTGCGCGGCACGCGGCTCGGCGACCAGTCCGATTCCTCGTCGCAGTGCGATACGGTCGATAGAAGCAAGCCACGTAGTGGTTGCATTGAATTGCGGTAACGACGCTACCGCATGGCATATGAGGGTCACCCCTTAGCACTACGGATCGCTTTACGCGCTTCTCCCCTCGACATCGGAACGAGCCTGTTCATACTTCATTCTGTCCGTGGATGCTGAAGAAGTTACAACCACGTGAACGGAACGTTACAATTAATTTCGGAATGTTTATCGTGGAGTGTTTAATATTACAGTAAAACCTTACTGTAATATGTGATGCAAAGAATAATTTTTATACTATGAAAAAATTATGTGTTCACGATATATGTGATTTATACACAATTATATTAATCGTTTTACACGAAGAACGTGTATTGTAAGTAATTGCTGACGGAAAGTTTTTGCGGAAACATTTAATAATTTTACTTTTGCAATTCCATTGAATCTTGTTCATTGTCGACCTTGAAGATATAATAGCCGGAAATTTTACGTATTTATATGAGATTCTAAGACTCATTACTTGCAAACTTGGAAAACAAAGGTGTTTTCAGGGTGTAAAGAATCTTTAACGAGACCGCAGACAACTGTCGAAGAAATCGGAACCGACCGATTCATCATAGTCACATGCATCCTTTTATCTGCAAGTTAAACAATTGAGACATACAGTAGAAAAGATTTTGTATAGATCAGTCGTTTCAGAATTGGAACCACGAAGTGGAACCGTAATACAACCGCGATATAAACCTAAGGCAAAAAGAAGGTGAAAGAGCCATTGAAAAAATACGAGAAAGAAGTATAATACAAATAAACACGCTTGAACGAACATCAGCCAGCTATAACGTCTCATACAAATAGAAGCGTTACAATTACCGTGACATTGGCTACTGCTGTGAAAATTGTTTACGTATATCAAGCATCGATATTAGGACACTTTATGAATTCACGTCACGATTCTTTGAATCGTGACACGAGGAATCGCTGACCTTAGAAAGAGACACGTTCCTCTCTTATTTTTAGTTCCGAATCATTGAATGATAAATTGTGATTTGCATCAAGATTCACACCCCGAATGTATCTGCTGAGTCAAGATAATGCCGTCTATGTCAAAATTTCTAGATTTCTTTTCCACGAGATATCGTGAAGATAACTTCGAGTCAACTTGAAGAGATTACGTGCATGGACTACAAAGTGCAACTTAAAGGGTGCAAACTCGAAGACGTGAATGTAGAGACATTTGCAAAGTATCGATCGACCTGTATCTTGAAGAGGATGCTCCCTTCGATCTTGTAGGGAGCGGAATTCTCGTTGTAGTCACGTGGAAAGCAACGATAGACGCAGCGAAAAGAGAAACGAGGAGAGAAACATTTTCCAACGGGCGACATTACGTTGCCGTCATGGAAAATCGATTCGCCGCCACCGACCACCCCGCCACAACCACCCGCCGCAGTGCAATGACCTCCAAACCGGGAAGATCCTATAGCGTGAGGTAAGCAGCTTCGTAGTAGAAATCGAAAGGGTCGTGGTGGAAGAGAGGGCGGGAAAGCGATGAGTTTACTGAAGAAAGAGCTTGGCCCCCTCGTAGAAAATAGCCACAGCTTCACGCGGCATCCCCGACGTCTACATTCGCGATGTTTTCCTTTATTTTACTTCCGGCCTCGGCTTTCTGAGAAACGTTTTTAAACCTACGGTCTCATCACTTCTTTTTTTTTTTTGACAGTAAAGAAGAACGTCAGCTTCTCTTGTGAAGCTGATATTTCACACATGGTATATGATCTCGTTAGAATAAATGAGAAAATGCAACGTGTTGTATCAATATTTTGTTTTACTGTGACACTAATTATTCACGTGTATAATATAATTGATCTATTGTATTAATCACTGCGAATATTTTGCAATAATAAATTAATGTTAGATTTTTTAAGGAATTTTTGAAAAAAAATCATATTTGATGTTTGTGAAAGTTGTTTAAGAAAATTACTACTTTTCATATATCTATGAAAAATGTATTCCTTTTTAATTTCTTAACAATAGAAAAATTCGAAACAAAGCATGCAAAACGTGCTATTGTATTTTAATCGCTTAGAAAGATAATGATTGTAAGTTTTTCAGTTATGTTATCTGTATATATTATTTAATTCACATATTATTATTACCTATTATTATTTAACATATTAAAGAAAAAAGTAATTAATTATACGCTAAAAATAAAAACAATTTTTATTCACACTAATTTCGTGTAAATAAATTTGCATTCTGCTAATTAAAGATAAAGGAATTTCTGCTACAATTTTTGCAGATCTGTTGTTTCACTTTTGTTCGCATTTTTTTCGATATCGAGGTTTAAGCTGGGTGTTCTAAAGCTGAAAGCAAGGTCATCTTTGCGCAGTACGACGCAAACACGATACAAAAGTGTATCTTTTAAATGTAGCATCCATAATTTACATGTGCGTAAGCACGCCTGTCACCAAACATTGATTCTACATTTAGAGTGCGTATAAAGAGACTATTCTTACTGTACGTTTAATGCTAAACACAGCTGTCTGATTTTAAATCGTTGTATGCATCCGAAATGACGAATATATCTAAATATATTTCGGATGTGCACAATGTCAGATAAAATTCAAAATTACGCGATCTCTCTCTCTCTCTCTCTCTCTCTCTCGCATTTAATATTAAATAAATGGTGAGAGCTAAAATTATATTATACATATCATAAATTTATAGTTGAACGTATCTATCAGAGTTTTAAGTTCTATTTATTCAGAAATGTCACGTTTAATGTTAAGAGGACACGTACTTTAAATGCTGAATATGCAGTCAGAATACAAAAGCAAAGCGTTCGTAGAATTAACGTGCAGTTTCTGATTTAGCGCGTCACATCGTTCCAGAAGAATTCGCCGGCGGACGAATTACGAGATAACTGACGGGCATAGTTATTATTCCAAACTCAGAGACTTCTTTGTGCGCGAATGCGCTTCAGTCTTTGAATTCCCTTGGAAATTAAGACTGCCCCTCCCCGCCCTTTATCGGAGATTTCTCTACATAAATAAACGTAAAAATACCTAGTAAACAGTAAAAATGCATCTATAAACCGTTTACGAACAGTTTGTATATAGCGTTGCATTAAAGCAATCTGTGATCGTCGAGAAGGATAATGTTTTCCTTTTACTCATGGATTAAATAATTACAGTGTTTGATATATGAAAAAAAAATGCGAAAGTAGATAATAAGTTGGCCTGCGAAGCACTAATTATATAATATTAATATCTCAGTAAACAAATTAACGTATTAATTAAATAATAACATGGTTTTAAAAAAATGGTTATGACTCAATGAATTAATACAGAAAACTTATTCTTTCGTACAGACTATCGATTTTCTTCGTGCCTGATAACTGATTATTAATTTTTTCATACTTTGTTGCAATGTGATTTTGCAGTCTTTCACTTTCTACATTGCGTTTCACCTGATTAAGAGAATATTACAAATAGGAAGATAAAGAATAAATGACATTTGCCAAAAATTCTGGTTGTTTTTAGTAATTATTGTTCTCTATAAGTTTGAATTGTATTAAATCATTTATTTTATAAACACTTTTCCATGGCCTTTTATATTATTGTTTATTTTATTATACACATAGAGACATTTTAATAAAAAATAGTTTTCTAAAAAATTATAATAATTATAATTAAATTCGAATATTACTATTAACATGTACATGTCATAATAATTACAATTAATTGATTACATCAAATTTTTTACACGTTTGCGGAAAATTTTAGTAAGATGCTGGAATGAATAATTGATGGGATATTACATAAAGATGACTCAAGAAACGGATAACAATTTATCTTACCTATCCACCGATCGAAATTGTTTGATGGTTGCATATGAAGTGACTATAGTTGGGAGATGCAAGAAAGATCGTTTCTCATTAATTGAACGTTGCACGATTTTCAACGCTAATCTGTATAGCCCGGCTTGATTAAATCTTGATTCACCTTCATTGAGTTTACTCATTATTTCCGATAGAAGCAATATGCTCCAGAGTGCTAGATCACCTACTTTCGAGGCCTTCGGAGCGATTTAAGAGGATTTCATTGTAACCGGTAACAGCAAGTTTCCGTCGTTTGTTCAACGCGCGCGCAACGATGTGAATATTTTTTCAAACGAAACGTTACGCAACACAATTGAATTGGAAGACGTTATGCATATAAAAAGTAACGAGCATGAAAACAAGAAGAAAAGAAATAGAAATTTAAAAATGAATAGAATACCAAATCGAATCGCTGTTTTTCACGACAAAAATAAATTACTGCAGTTAATCTTAAAGATGAGCATGAAATGACGAGAATTAAAGTGTTTTATAATATAAGAGAAGTTACGAGGATGTAGGTATGTATACATAAAAGATGAAGTATACCACGAAATTACACTTGTCAGCGCTAATGAAGTCTTCCTGTTTCTCTTCTATAATTAATCAATAAAAACATGTATAAGCAAATATCAATTACCACAAAATTTAATTTTCACAAATTGCGTTGCAATCTTCTGAGAGACGTGTAAGCGCATCAATTTAACATTTAAAGCAATGTGCTATTAATCATACAAGTGCGTTATATCTCGTACGTTAAAAGGTACATGCCGCAATTATGTAAAAAGGAAAGGACGTGCGTAACCAGGGGGTTGTCGCACATGTGAATAATTACTTCAGGATTGCCGTATTATTGTGTTCTATCACGTTCTACGAGACGCTTTTAGTTTAATCTTGATATACAGGATGTTCTTCTAATTGCCATAATTTTTTCGATACTTCTGATGGTTTGACAACAAAATGTTTCTAACAGTTTGTTAATTTTTAATAAAGAATTAATTTCGTACGAAAAATTTCAAGTTCATTTTCTAATAAAAAATTAAAGTCAAATTTTTTTTAATCAAATCATGTATATTTTCTTCCATATTTTTATTGTATATAAAAGACAAATTTGAAAAATTTTTTTTTCAATTCATTATAAACGAACAAACTTTTGTTACAAAAATTTTATTGTTGATCTATTGACAGTATTAAACTGTGGCGATCGATTCAAAGAACACCCTGTATATAGAGTCCCAGAAAAAACTTCACTAATTAATTATAGATGTTTTGATCAATCTGAAATTAATTTGCTAAATATCACAAAGTTTTTGTCAATAATTATTTAGCTACAATTAAAAATGAAGAATTTTTTAATATTAAATAAAATCTAATTAATTGTTTACATTTTAGATATAATTTAAATCTAATTTTTAAATAAATATCAAAACATTTTTTTTATTGTATTGAATTATAAAACGTTAACATATTATAAATACTATTCTTTATAAATTTTCACCGTTAAAATTAAGGCTAAATTAAACGTATCGTAATTTTGTGTTTAGATCTGTAATATTTTAAATTAAAATTTATTTTCTTATTTCGCGTGGGTGATGAAGTGGAAGACGAAAGTTGAGGTGTATTCGATGAGAATGCCGTGGGGTGGGAAACTATTACATGGAAAAGATCGAACGCAGCTTAAGAAGTTAATGGATGGACAATGATTTTATCTAATGTTGTGTATTTTTATTATCATTGAGTATTATTACATCAGATTTCAAAATAGCTCTCGTAGCGAAAGGTGTGGCGTGAGAAGCTTAAGCTCACTGGTCTTATGTATTCATCTTGCGTGTTTTTTACTCGTTGTTATTACGCTATGTGTTTCGCATTATCGTTCGAGGCTCATCGCCGGCGCGTTGCCCTTATTGCCTATAACCGAGAGTTAATCTTCCGATTCGCTGATAGGAATACTCGAACTAATGGATACACATGACGTAGCTTTGAAGAGCATGAACATGAATGGAAAATCGATTTCATTTATCTGAAATTTCATTATTAGTAGTACGCATTATTATTATTTCATGTATGTGTCATAATAACTATATAATACTAATAGAATCTTGTAGACATTTAAATTGAGAGTTTCAAATTGATAAATATTATGTTCACTATATTTTATTAGTGAAAACGATCTCAAAATATAATTTTTTAATTTTAATTTCTGAAAATTTAGAAATAAATTATAAATTCTTTTTATTTTGAGAGAATCTCTCTTATTATCTTTTAGAAATAAATAGAAATGTTGTAGTTCTCAACAAACTTTAGCGTACGCGGATAACATGATATGTTATCCACTGAATAGATGTATCATAATAATGTACCATACCTTTACATTATCGTGATAAGTTCGTTATGAGTTATTGTCGAAAAAAGGAGCAATCGCCAAAGCAAACTGAGTTATCGATAAACTCATCTACTACAAAAGATCAAGAGGAAGACGTATTCGATGTAACTCGTTAAGAGACCTACGCATTATTCAATATATTATTTTACGGATAGCTCTTACATTAATTGCTATTAGTTTTTTTTACATCACAGTGGTTATATATAATATTTTGGACAAAAATTGTAGG